AGAATAAATCAGCCATGTAAGCAACATCAATCTTAAATTGTAGCAATCTGTCTCTCAGAGCTACATCCTTCTCTTCGAGGAACTCAAGTACAGAGTCGAAAAGATTCCAGAACCTATTGAGGTAGGCGCCTTTGGAAAGCCAGCGAACCTTGGTGTGTAGAAGCAAGCGATTGAATTCTTCATCATTGTCCTTACACAGCTGCCCGAATAATCGATTATTGAGAGCATTACTGTGAATTTTGTTCACAGCAGAGATGACATATTGTAATGACTGATGCAAATGGTTGCTGAGGTTTTTTGCAACTAAATGCTGTCTATGAATCATGCAGTGAACAGCTAAAATACCTGGTACCTCTTTCTTCAAAAGGGTGATGAACCCACGATGACGACTCACCATTGCAGGAGCTCCATCGATGGCAACAGACATAATGTTCGCAAGAGGAATATTTTTTTCTTTAAAATAATCTTTGACAGTATTAAAAATAGATTCATCTTTAGTATCTGCAATCAAGCTTCTTGCAAAAAGCATCTCTTGAATAATTTTTCCTTCCTTCACAAACCGGACGTACACTAACAGTAAAGCCTCATTAGTACTTGGCAAGGTTGATTCATCAACCTGAAGAGAAAACTCGGTGGGTATCAAAAGTTTGCATAAGGAAGCTTCAACATCTTCAGTCATCTCATCAATTCATCGTCGCACTGTATCATTGCTTAATGGGACATTTTTTATAACATTAGGTGCAGCTGGATGGTGTAAAACCGTTTCTAAAACTTCCTTGACAGCTGGCAGTATCAACTCTTCGCCGATGGTATGAGCTTTCCCCAACTTAGCAATTAATTTTGATATATTATAAGAGGCTATCAAACCATCGTCACATTTTTTTGATGAGGTTGCTAGTAAGCCTGAGACAGTGCCTTCAGAAACTTATCCCTGATGTTCATGAGAAACGACAAATCTTTATTTTGTTTGTCAGTATGAATTTTTTGTAGATGCTCCTGCAAACGAGACGGTTTCATTGCCTCATTAGATAACACTTTGTTACAAAGTA